CAAGCCATCATGAAAATAGTTGAAACTAGATTTATAAATTTTCATAAATATCCAATAAGAATAGGAGTTTTTAGAGAGGCACATTTTTTGGACTATGTTTATGATGAATATGGAGAGGTCGTAAACATTACAGGAGTTTTAGCTAAATTTATCAATATTATAGAAAAATTGACAAATGCTACTATTGTGTTTGTACCGGTTCTAAATAAAGGTGGTGGACTAGGATTGATCGAACAGCAGAAAGCTGACATAACAATACATCCTAATTTGCTTACAAATTTTAAATTGAATCATACTAAATATCTATATCCATTGAACAATGTGCACATGGTTGCCTTGGCGCCGAAAATCGATAAAAAAATTCACACAAGTTTGTACGAAATCATCGGATTTGGAACCGGCATAGGAATGATGATTTCGTTGATTATGGTATTTGCTGTAAGACAAGTTTTATGTGATCTGAAACAAAGAGAAATATCAGAAAATGAGACAACAGCCTCCGATTATATTTTACCATTATTTGGTATTCTTTTTATGGTATCACAACCTTTGCCAACTTCTACACCTGAGAGATTGTTAATAATAACTTTCATATTGGAATGTATGATGATCTGCTTTGCATATCAAGCTATTATATTTCGAATTCTTGCAATAAATCAAGTTGTAGAGTTTAAATCTTTACAAGATATTCTAGACAGTAATTTCAAAGTGTACATGGCTTCTGAATTACTTGGCATGACTAATTACTATTCGGATCTTCTAACAACGAAGGACAAATTATTGATGAAAGCTCATTTTGTTGATCAAATGATACCAGCAGCTATAAAAATTTCTCAAGGTGAAAATGCAGTATTATTCACAAATTCGATTATGACCGAGTATATGAAGTACCATTTTATATCACAAAGAACTGGAGAAATGAGCACATACACTGTCTCTGAAAAATTTCTGGAGTGGTTCTCTGCGCCTTTGATATGGAATAAATCACCTTTTTTCAAACGAATGACATTTTTCGGAGATTGCATCGGGTTTCATGGCTTAACCGTGAAAATACTCAACGATGTAAAATTTACATGGCGGTTATACCGCCTTCGATCGAAAATCTATGTTGAAGATAAAGTGTATTTTACGTTAGAAGATTTGTATTCATTATTTTTTTATTACGGTATCTTAAATTTTTTTTCTCTGATAATATTTCTTGTTGAGTTAATATACTATTTCTTGACAAATTAACAATATAAGATGGTTTTTAATATGGATCTTTTTGAATTTCCTTGCTCCCAGGGACTCAAATGTTTCCAAATTGTTAAAAAAAAATCTCTCAAAGTTTTAGCCCTTAATATTAACTTTGAGATAGTCCGCACTTCAACCAAAGTTTCTATGGATAAAGTTCCATTTGTTATAAAACTTAGCGACAAGTGAAATTTTACAACAATAGCAACTTTTAGGAGCAAGGAAATTCGAAAACGTCCATATTAAGGACGATCCTAATAGATATGTATTAACCAAATTCACTTGCCCAATTGAAAAAGGTATCGTAAAGAATTAAGATAGGTGTAAAAATATCGTAATAATGATAATAATTAAAAAATAACATGTAATGGATTTCATCATTTTACACATCTAATAATCATTTTAGTGATGGTACGCTGAGGACCTTGACTAATATTCAAATTCATGTTAAAATCAAATTACAATTATACAAATAAAATTTTACTTTACGATGGCGATGAACAATTCGTGAATGTTTTTGATTTCGTGAAGAACTGTTGAATCTTTTTTTTATTTAAGAGATGAATTTGCGCACAGTAGTCCTCCTGGTGAGGTAGCGCGACACTAAAACAATGTAAAGCACCTTTCTTCTGTGTTGATCTTTTATATTATATTATTATTTTTGTCACACCAAAATAACCAAATTTTCAACATGCACTTATTTGATTAATGTTATGTTACCATGGAAGACTTGTATCATAACATTATTATGATATCCGAAAGTATGTGCATTGTTCCGTTAATGTAGATTAATGAATTCAAATTATGTGTGTCTTATTTCTGTAAATAAAAATATTAGTAATAGATTTAATGCCTTATATTTTTCGATAAACATTACCTGAAAATTGATATCTCTTGAATAATATGGTTTATCTGAATGCATTGATGAGAATGATGATATACCAACCAATATTAGCATATGTATTTACCAACTATTTCACAACAAGAAGTATGTATGCATCAACGTCCATTATTATATATATAAATTTTGCATTTTCTGGGAAATCATGGTCATTGCAACATATTTGGACAAACATTTATAATGCAGAAGATATCAAGCTAAAACGTTTCATGGAAGAGTACTTTTTGGTAAGATTTTTTAAATTTTATTTCTTGTCTAGTTTTTTTAAATTAATCTTTTAATTTATTTCAGGACAGAAAAGCAGTAGTGTTTTTTGAGAATATTGATGATATGAAATTCTATGATGAATTCCCGATTTCTTTGTATGGAATAGCAACTGTAAATTTTAAATTAAAATTGTGAGTACTTTCTCTGATTCGAGTTTTAACTCAGCTTATGAACCTATTTCTTATGTATATTCATATTTTGAACCTCTTAAAGTTGCTCTTTTGTCAAAGAACCTATATTTTTTACTTTGGTGAAAGTTATATATATTTTTTTGCAGGAACTCAACGAAATTCTTCGACGAAGTGAAATATATTTTTAATTCCCAAAAGTTCAATTGTGATCAAATCGGTGTATCGTTATTAAATTTACAAGTTAACAATATTTTTAAAATTTTAAACATAATTTCAGACAATAACGTTAGTACTCGTATATTATTATATTTTGAAGAAAATGCATTTAATGAATATAGAAAATTACTTGAAATTATTTGGTCAAGATTTAAATTACAAAGTGTAATATGCGTGTTGAAAGAGCCAAACTATTCTCATCTTAATATCATCATATACGATCCTGTTGAATTTAATGAACAAAATCAAAGAGGTCTCTATTATAATTTTATTCTGAATGAAACACATTTATCACAAACAAATCAAGCCATCATGAAAATAGTTGAAACTAGATATATAAATTTTCAAAAGTATCCAATAAGAATAGGAGTTTTTAGAGATGGAGATTTTTCGGACTATGTTTACGATGAATATGGAGAGGTCGTAAACATTACAGGAGTTTTAGCTAAATTCATCAATATCATAGTAAAATTGACAAATGCGACAGTTGTTTTTGTACCGGTTCTAAATAAAGGTACTTTTGGAAAGATTTTCGAAAATGGTACATCAACTGGTGAACTAGGACTGATCGAACAGCAGAAAGCTGACATAACAATTCATTCTCATTTACTTACAAATTTTAAATTGAATCATACTAAATATCTATATCCATTGAACAATATGCACATGGTTGCCTTAGCGCCGAAAATCTATAAAAAATTTCACACAAGTTTGTATGAAATCATTGGATTTGGAACAGGCATAGGAATGATGATTTCGTTGATTATGGTATTTGCTGTAAGACAAGTTTTATGTGTTTTGAAACAAAGAGAAATATCAGAGAATGAGGTAACTGCCTCCGATTATATTTTATCTTTATTTGGTATTCTTTTGATGGTATCGCAACCTCTGCCAACTTTGACCACTGAAAGATTGTTAATATTAAGTTTCATATTGGGATGTATGATAATCTGCTTTGCATATCAAGCAATTATATTTCGAATTATTGCAATAAATCAAATTGTAGAGTTTAAATCTTTACAAGATATCTTAGACAGTAATTTTAAAGTGTATATGACTACTGAATTGCTTGGTCTGACTAATTACTATTCGGATCCTCCAACAACAAAAGACAAATTATTAATGAAAGCTCATTTTGTTGATACAACAATACCAGCAGCTATAAAAATTTCTCAAGGTGAAAAGGCAGTATTATTTACGAATTCGATCATGATTGAGTATTTGAAGTACCATTTTATTTCAAAAAGAACTGGAGAAATTAGCACATACACTGTCTCGGAAGAATTTCTGGAGTGGTTTTCTGCGCCTTTGATATGGAATAAATCTCCTTTTTTCAATCGAATGACATTTTTAGGAGATTGCATCGGGTTCCATGGATTAACTGTGAAAATACTTGAAGATGCCAAATTTGCATGGCGTTTATACCGCGTTAGAGCAAATATTGGTGATGTTGAGGATGAAATGTTTTTTACGTTAAAGGAATTATCGTCATTATTCTATTATTACGGGATTTTGAATTTTATTTCGTTCATAATATTTCTCATTGAGGTAATGTATTATTTCTTCACAAATACAATTTTAAAACAATATGACATCTCATACGACAAAAACATTACTTGAATCTCTTTTTTTTTTGATCGATTATCAGGCAATGGAGCTTTTTGATTATTGTGATTTATTCTATATAGACTATTTAATTTAATAATGTTTTTTATGTACTTAAATATTGTCTGGTCCTTATTTCACGATATTATTCGTACGTACTAAGAAGAACAGTTATAAATGTGAATGATTTGTCCTCACATTTTTCACTATTTCTAACCGATATTTCAGCCACTATGTTGAAGAGACATACATTGCAATGTGTAATACATATAATAATAAATAAATACTACAAAATATCTGATTTTAACTAGTGAACAAAAATATATTGATTACAAAGTCTCCACTATTTGTTCTCACAGAAATTTATTCCCGTGCTTGCACCGAACCAATCGTATTACTAGACTCTGTACAGATTGTTAAATGTATGTCAAAAAGTCCTCTATTTGAGTATATTTTCATTTTACATCATCTATGAGAAACGTAATACCTACATATGTAAATATATGTGTGTATATTTATATAGGGTACATAAATAACTCGCAAGTTTCACATATAAGCGCGCCGATTTTCAAATAAACATTTAGTTTAAACTCAGCCTTGGATATACCACATACGTTTCTCTGGCGCTTATAAAAAAAGTTTGATGTGGATAATATAAATATTTTTTGATAGTTCAAATTGGGAAATTTGATTGAAAATATAGTGCTAGTGTCTGGTGATGCCCGTGACAAATGTGCTTGATGAAAAAAGTTTGTGTTGGATAATATATTTGAAATGAGTTGAATTTGCAATCAGAGGATTGAAGTGAGTTTAGGAATTAAATTCAGGCGGTTGCTAATACAATGATATGATGATGATGATCTATATTTTCATTTTTAATTTTAAATTTCTCGAAAAAGGTGCGTGTTTCTGCCAAAAAATTTGATATTTTAGATTTCGAGACGTTTCTAGTTATCCTGAATCAAGTGAGACCAAATTTGGAAAAAGTGCGATTTTTAGACTCATCGTCCACGTTTTCTCGTAAACGAATGCACCACTTAGGGACTGGCGTTATGATCGGTCGAGCCATTTTTTTATAATTAGAAATATAGAACATTTGAAAATTGTAACATTTTTTCGTCTACGTTTTGATTTACAATCCTGAATTGATTTTAAGATGAGATTCTTTAAAATGAAAAATGTATTATCAAACAAAGTTTTCTTGCCTTCGACATAGATATTCTCGAAAATCAATAAGTAAATCCTAAATACTAGATTCTAACTAAATTCTAAAAAAGTTTTTTGGATTCTTATGAGAGAATCTTATTGGAATGTTATTGTACTCTCCTTAGGATCCTCATCAGTTTCTGGTCGGATTTTTAAGAGACTACTTTTTAGGATTCGGACTAGATCCTGAACTGAAATCTAAAATACTCGAAAAGCGATTAAGTTTTATTAAGTTTTTCTAATTCAGTGTGGATTCCATCTAAATTGTTACTCTTTTCTAATTATATTCTAACTTAATTATAACTTTTTTTAACTTCATTCCGACTTCTCTACCACAAAATATTACTTACATCTTTCAAATATTATTGTTTCAATCATTATTATCCAAAATTTTAGACATTAAAAAAGTTTATAACACTTTCCTTAGGAGGGTTCATTAATTACGTGATCAATTTTTTAGGAATTACTGGACTCCCTTCATATCCTCTTTGGTGATACGTCGTGATATTCAAAATTACCCTTCCTTCCCACCAAATATCACTTATATTTTTATTTATGTAAAATTTTTCGAACAAATTATTTGAATTTACGGAAAAAAGATAATATTTTTTTTTTGAAAATATTTGGATTTAAAAAAAAAACAGGTAAAAATAAATACATGTGATATCTTACTAGATCATTTTCCTCCACGTGATGTTTCGTGATTTTTTGTCAACCCCCCCCCCTCTCTAAAAGCCTCAAACGATTAATGGATGCTCCCTATACTCCTGTCAATGAAGCGTTTTGGGCCTGAATTTTTTTACTGTGCTCCAATTTGCATAAAATTTTGAAATTAGGTTCATCGTACCCTTCAGTTCAAAAGTGTAATCAACTTTGGACTCCGGCACCACCCCCCGGGGGGATGACACCCCTTCTCAGTTGTGTAATTTTATTTTTCCAAAATAATGTCAGATATCGATAGAAGAACTAATTATAAAAAAATGTCTTAAAGTTTTTCAAAAAAACTAATACTTTTCAAGTTACTGGTCACTAAAAATTCATATATTGGCGTTTTTCTTCGTTTTTTTGCAAATATCTCCTAAAATATACATTTTAACGAAAATCATGTAATAAACAAAATAATGTCACTAAAATACTTAATAAATCGATGCTTTATAAAGTGTTTTTTTTTATTTGCAACTTATATCTATTTTACAGTGGTAATTATTTCATTACCTCTGAAACATTGTTTTTAAGCTGTTTGAATTTTCCACTGACGTTTTTCTGGAATTGAATTGCATTATTCGGGTATATTTTTGGCAAACCATAATAACATATGCCGTCGTCGAAGTCGTTAATTACATTTCACATATGGGTGCTCCTGTACGAATAAATCAGAGTTAATAACGTTCGTTTAACACATGGTCGAAAAACATTCGCACGCGTATAAATTGTACCTACTTTTATTACTTTGTAACAATATCCGTTACATTTGAAATCGGTCGAGTGGAGAGGAGAGGAGAGGAAATTTTAAATTTGGAAACGAACATAATAAAACTAATTTTTTTTTAAATATTTATTAAACAGGAATCGAAAATACAATTTTCATAAGCTATTTGGAAAATTATAATTAACATAACACATACAAAAAAAAACACTCACACATATACATATTTACACATTGCTCAAGTAATGTCTCCAATGAGGGATTTACAAATAGAAAACTAGCATAAATTCAAAATAATTTAAATTGTATCTTTTGGCCAATTTCTTTTGAATCGTCTTACTATTGGAGAATTGCGTAGTGAAGTTAATAATTCGTTGGGATGGTCTTAAATTTTCAAGAGGATTTTAGGCCATCTATCCTTGATAACGTCTGTTACGAATGAAATTTTCAAATAAAGAATATATAGGTAAAATTAAATTCACACGAGTTGGAAGTTTACACTTTTTACTCAGGAAACAATATTTTTGAAATAGTTATGTGGGGTACTAAATAATAAAATATTCTTCATCATGTAATCACCATTGTGCTTAACTAATTATTTACAAAAGTCAGCATAATATAAGCACAAACTAGTGGTTGAACTTGAAAAGAAACTTGAGGCAAATTGCTTGAACTTCCCGTACCGTAACGAAATGCTCGAGGAATATTAAATGTTTTTAAATAGATTATTATAAATACTGTAACACTGTCTAATATTTATAAGAATTATATCAACTGAATTACGAAGTTAAAATTATTTATTTAAAATACATAAGTGAGCTTTATGACTTTAGCCGGAATTAAAATTAAAATAACTCTTTGCTACGTATCTCCGTAACGGTTAGACCTGCCTTTGCCAAAAACTAATCAGCACATCTCTCTATCAATAGGAAAACGTCGACGAAAAATTGCGTACACACAAAACATACACATCCATCCATTTTTTCTCTATGTCAAAATATTGAGAAACCTTCAAAACGTGAAAAAATACAAAATTTTTCATTTTCGATTTTCGGTCTATTATTATAACTTAATCTACGGAAAATTAAATTTTATAATTAATTATTAATTAATAAATATAAAATAATTTGAATTAAAGTTTAAATCAAACGCAGGTATGTGATTAATTTAATTATAAATATAAACAATTATTTTTTAGTGTGAGAAAAATTATTGCCATACATTGGTATGTGGGAACTGCAATAACCAATTTTAGTAGAGCTATTACAAAAATGATATACAATGAGAGAATTATCTGGAAAAATTATTAAGTGTTTATTATGATATTTCATAAATGTTGCAAGCAGAATTTGCAAATTGAAAAACTTAATTATGAGTTAATGTCATAAGCCAGAGTGCCTCAGGAGGATTAAAATTCAAGAAAATAAGAAGAAATTAAAAATGGATATAATATGCCCAAATCAGGAATTATTTGATTCACCTATTTTTAATGGAACATGGACTCGAAATTCAAGATGTTTGGACGATGCTATCAGTTCGATTATATTTTGTATAAGCGTTTATACATATGTTATAACAGCTTTATGCTTATTGTGCCATAGGAAAAGGTAAATATCATTTTTATCTTAATTTATCAACTTTATCGAACACCTTTGCATATGTAAACACATTCGACGAAATATTTCTTAATTTTAACCGATATCAAATTGATATTATATATATATATATATATATATATATATATCTTATTTATGATTTCATTATAAATTAAATTATTTCTGAATCGATAATTTGGATTATTTGCATATTCGACGTTTATCTTTCTATTATCGAAAACTCCAAATTACTTCAAAGGTACATTAATCTAAAACTTTTAATAGATATATATATATTTTGAATATTGGAAAAATTGTTCTTTTATGCTATTGAAGATTATTAAATTCATTTTATTATTTAAGCAAATTTACAATAATGATTTTGTACAGATCTGAAGAAAAAAGTCAATCATACTCAAAAACAAGTATTCATTGCATTTGTTGATTCGATAATTCTACGATTTTAATTTTTTATGATATATTCATATTTTCTATATTTTCCAATGTACTTTAGTACTGATACATTTAAATAAGGTTTAAAGATGTTATTATAATTCTTGAATTTGCATAAAAAAATTACTTTTATAATCGATTCAGAATAAAGAATTTTCAACTTATTTCAAGGAATTCTAAGTAGAACTTTTATTTCATAGGATGTGAAATTATACGTTAAATAAATATTATTTTTGCTCAAATAATTCATAGAATTCTGAAGAAACTTAGCATCAATATTTGTCGTGATGAAAGCTAGATTTGTGGGATTATCCACAGTTCTTGTGTAAACTGTTAAGTAAATTTAAGTTTCCTGTTTTAGTAGATGTAGTAATATATTTTTCGATTTTATTTCCACATTTTTAAAAATTATCAAGTTTTTATTAGATACCATGGAAATTGTTATAGAATTTTTTCTATATTGTTAAAAGAATCTTACTAGATTCTTATAAGACTAGAATACATACTAAAATTCTTAAATAGAACTTTGAAAGCATTTAGTACCATTTTGTGTGAGAAGCGCTGCGTAGCATATTTATTTATTACCGAAGGAAAAATTATGTTTTTTTAACTTCCCTTAGGGTAAGTTATAGTAATTGCAAAAAAATCGAAAATGAAAATTTGTATATATCTTTACATTTCAAAACCTTCTGAACATTCTGGCATAGCTTAGAAAAAATTGATGTATGCCTGTGTGTGTATGTGTGTGTGCGATTGCTTTGGAAAAAGTTCAAAATTTCCAAAATATTTCAAAATGAAAAAAAAACGTTTTTTCCAAAAAAGTCAATTTTTCTCAAAAATTTAAAATTTTTCAGAAATCATTATTTTTTTCAAAGATTAAACCAAAATTTAAACTTTTTTTAAAAAAAAAAACTGTTGGTACGGGAAGTTCCAGCAATTTGCCATAAGGCACGATGCCATACATTACTAGTTCTCGTTTCAAGTCATTCTGAATCGTTTCATGCCAAAATTGAATAGAGTATATGTGAACAAAATTTGATCTTTCGTCGACGTTTCCTCGAAAATGTTTATGTATTTTTATTGCAGGTCAGACCAAGTGTCTACATGTATTCTTCTACCAAAACATTTAATAAGAAGTGTACTATCATTAATTATATCCATAACTTGGTGCCTTGCATTAGGAGAAGCAATATTATCCCATAAATATAAAGCCAAAAACAGAAACAAATGGTCCTTTACATTATCCATTGGTAAACCCATCTTGGGCCTTCTAGCAATCATAGGATACAACATTTGTAGTAGATTAATAGAGATTAATAGAGATAAAACTAGAAATAGAGGTATATATCATAATTATAAATACCATGCACATGTCTGTACATTATAATATTTATATTTCATATGTTTTAGGTAGATACAAATGGCTTTTGGCAAGCGCAAGTATGTACTTAATTCTATGTTTATGGATGGTTACACAAACAATGAATAATAAACTTTTATTGAATGGCCAAAAATTCTTATTGCCAATGCTTGATGCTGTTGTAACAATATTTTATATATTTATTTTTATTTTAGATTTATATACAGGCATTTCCGAGGTGGGTGTATTTTAAAATAGTCAAGTATAACATAAAATATAATTTATTTTAATTTTTTATTACAGTTTATTAAAAGAAATACCTATTACATAGAAGAAGATGAACATGGCGAAAATCCATTTGAACACGAACGCCATATTGCTTATAAATATAATAAGGCGACATTTCTATCCAGGTGTGTTCATATATTCATTCCTTTTTTTATAAAATAAATATATATATGCACTTTTTTGTTCAATAATGTTTTATATTTACTGATAATACTTTTCATAAAAAGTCTATGTACCTTAGAGCAAGTTTTTGGTTCTTGACATCATTATTAAGAGACGGCTATAGAACTCCGTTGGAATTTGAAAATTTAGGAGTATTACCTCCGGAAGAGAGTTCGTCGAAGATTTTTGAGAAAATTATTCGGATATTGGACAATGATAATTTTCAAATTAAGGTAATTGAAATGATTTGATGTATATAGATTATTTGTATATGAATGTATTTTGATATATTAAATAGTGAACATTTATATTAAAGGCAAACGCAACGCTTTGGAAGTGCTATTTAAAATTAATTTGGAAAACATTTTTATTGAGTGGAGTTTTGAAGTTTTTTGGCGATGTTGCGGCTTTGGTAAGTTATACAATTAAAAAAGTTATTAATGGTAACCATTACCAATGTGAAAAACTGTTTAGTTTTTCGTTCTTTTAGAATTTCACAAGTGATTATAATATTTAAAACCATTAAATATCAAGAGTTTTCAAACAAAGAACTAAATGTTGCAATTTCAATATTCTTTTGCCGACATTTTTAAATATTTGTAAAAAATGGCTTTTTTTTAATTTTTTTAATACTTTTTATGTTTGTATAGTTGATACTACATGAACTATTTAAAATTGTTAGCTCAGTGAACGAAAAATTGATGCATTTAAAATAAAATATGTTCATTCTAACAATAAGTCCGCTAAATTAGATATTGTTTATTTATATTTCATTCAAACATATATAAACAACGTCGTCTAATCTAATAAGTTTTCACATTTTGTCTACAAGGAACAAATAATGAAAATTCCAGATTTTATAATATTTATTCATAGACATTTTTGTTGACTGATTATTTTTATTTTTCGAATCTTTAATTACGGTACGCGAAGTTCCAGCAATTTGCCTTAAGGCACGATACCAATAGTTATTTAATTTTTTTTATTTTAGATTGGACCACTTGGTTTAGCTGTTATAATAGATCATGTCGACGGTAAAAATACTGTGTATTATTCTTCTGCAGATGAAGAATCAATAACTATAGGTGAATTTTTTAGAAATGGGTATGTTATGGCATTTATTGTGCTATTCGCCGCAGTAGCCCAGGTAAATGGCTAAAATATGAAAATAAAATTACTAAAAAAACAATTCTAACTAATATTTGAATTACAGGGTTTGCTTTCACAAGCTGCAACACATTTAGCAAATTTATCTGCACTCAGGATAAAAGTGGCGATGCAAGCTTTGATATATGAAAAAACATTAAGGTATCAGAATATAAAAAATGTGAATCTTTTCGCAAAAATTGTGTTTATATCATTGTTGAAATTGTAGATTGTCAAATAACCAGAACGAAACAGAAAATCAAAATGAAAAATCTAGTGATGAACTAGTTATGAATAAAACATCTAAATATACAAGAAAATTCCAAACCATTAATCATTTGAAAACACCGAAGATATGGAAGACGTCTTCAAATAAAAAGGAATCTGACAAAATTAGAAATATAACTCTGGATGCAAAACAAGAAGATGTAGGCCAAAAACATAAAACTGTTTTGGGATCAACTATGAATCTAATTCAAGAAGACGCTGCAAATGTTATGAATTTCATTTGTATAGGGCATCACGTATGGGCGATTCCTTTGAAGGTAATAAAAAGATTTCTGATATCATTTTACAAAAAAAATTAAAAATTCATATTTGTTTCAGATAACTTTATTAGTGTATCTTTTATATTTACAACTTGGAGTTAGTGCAATTTTTGGAGCATTGATCTGCGTTTTTACAGTAACCCCATTGCAGTTTATTATTGGCAAAGCTATGTCAAAAAATTCAAAATTATCTTTCGTGAGTATACAATTTTCACTTCAATGTAATTATAAGATTTATACGAACTTGCTTTTCCATTGCTACAAAATTGAGTTATAGCATTATCAGTTTTTTAACGTCCCGTAGAGCAAGTTATAATCATTGCAAAAAATCGAAAATGAAATTTTTTATCTATTTATCTATTTACGTTTCAAAGGTTTCTGAATATTTTGGCATACATTAGAAAAAATGGATGTATGTGTGTGTATGTGTGTATGAGTGTGTGTGTGTGTGTGGATACAAATTTTCGTCCACGATTTCGGGAACACCGATCAACTGATTTGAATAATTCAAAAAAACATTCGATTTGTATTGATAAGGAGACGTGCTGATTAGTTTTTGGCGAAGGCAGGTCTAGCCGTTCCGAAGATACGGCGCAAAAAGTGACAAAAACGGTAACTCAGTTTTTAAGAGAACGGAGCGTCCGATTTTAATAATTCAAAAGAGATTTTACTTGTATTGACAAGATGGAGAACTGATTAAATTTTTGGGAAGGCAGGTCCAGCGGTTATGGACTCTCAATGAAATTAAGTTAAAAAAATGTCACTTGGCGGTCAAAAATGTTTATTTGGACATATGTACATCAAATTATCAGATGTTTTATAGAGATTTTAGTAATGTGTACACATTCTGTGTAAATTTTTTTGGGTTCCGTACCAAGATTTTTGATTACGGTACAGGAAGTTCCAGCAATTTGCCTTAAGGCACGATGCCATGCACCCCACTAGTTTCTTCATATTTTTCTCAAAGTATTTGTTGATTTTCTCAAACTTGATTGTACAAAACTTATTTTTCAGAATAATTTATTTATCTAATTTTATTGCAGAGTAAAAGCGATGAAAGGTTAAGAAATGTTACTGAAGTTATTCAAAATTTGAAGACAATAAAAATAAATGCTTGGGACGATATATTTAAAAATAAATTAAATAATTCTCGTAAAGACGAACTAAAATATTTGAATAAAGATTCTCTATATTGGGCTCTCATGAGTAAGTAAAATGCATAATAGTGTTGACTCGATTTTATAGATTGATGATTATTTTTATAATTTCAGCATTTTTAACTCACCTATGCACTGTCCTGATAGCAACTGTATCATTTCTTCTAAGTTTTTACTTTACATTTAATACCAAGACCAATGAAATGGCAAATACAAATTACAAATCAGGAAATTCAACTTTTCTGGAGGATCAAAGTGGAAGTTATTTGGGACCTGCTGAAGTATTTTCGTCTCTTGCATTATTCAATCAGTTAGCTGTACCATTATTTATGTTTCCAGCTATTTTGCCAGTTGCTATTTCTGCCTTAGTCAGTACAAAACGTATTGCAAAATATTTATCGAAAATTGAATGCAAAAATTTATTGCCCGAGGACGAGGAAAATGTAAGTAGGATAAAACAGGAATGGTATTGTTATGTTACGGGTCTATCTTCGCATGAGTTGAACTATAAAAAAGCTATGTATTTGATGAGCTATCAGGAGTTTTACAATTAAATTATTTTTTAATAAAAATATGTTTTTGTGCATATGTTTTTCTATTCTCCAATAGTAGTATTTAGTTAGTTAAGGAATACTTTTATAAATAGATTAGATAAAAAACTAAAAAATATGAAAGGCATCAAAATTCTTCGTTTAATTCAAGTTTCGAGCTATTTGTTCTTTCAAAATACTGCTCTTTTTATTAGAGCTATTTGAACTCTATTTATCATGTGTATTTTCATTCCAGAATATTAACTCAAAAAGATTAATAAAAAATATCGACGTATTATCTGAATATAATAAGAAGATATTTGATGTGACAAGCACATTCTCAAATTTAAAGGAAGCAAACAGTAAATTCACAAATTATTTATTACTTTATGCTATCTATCGTATAGTTCAACCATACTTTTATTACAGACTTACAAAATGCTTTCCTTAATATTTGTGAAGAACAAAAAGATTTTAAACCAAAAGACAAAAATATTTCGGTTAAAAACCTACTATTGGAAAATCAAAATGAGGATCATAATGGATCTGCACTGAAATTAGATTCGTGTCAATTTTCTTGGAATCTAATGGGAAATGAAATATCTTTGCATGTTGCATATCTGGAAATTCCTAAAGGTGAGAAAAGATATTCATTTAAAAAAAATCTCTTGAAAAACATTATTTTATTTATGTAATATGTTTCTATTCTACTTAGGAAAACTGACTCTAATCGTTGGAAATACAGGATCAGGAAAAACTTCTTTTATGTCCGCAATTTTGAGCGAAATGTTTCTAATACAAGGATCCATGAAATGGGCCAGGTAATATAGTACAAATAATTAATATATATATATATATATATATATATATATATAATTTATTTTTCGTTACATTTTTTAGTGATACACGTATCGCATATTGCGCCCAAAAACCATTTCTCATGAATGCATCTATTCAGGAGAATATTACAATGTTTGGACAACATTTATGTCGTGATAAAAATTGTAAAAGGTATAAGAAGGTTTTGAAATTATGTGCATTGGATAAAGAATTGACAGAAATTCAACAGGTATTATTAAAATTATTATGCATAAATAATTAATAGAATGATACTCGTGTATATATATAGAAAACCATTTTACTTAGCATTCTTTATGCCAAATTATAATTTAAGAATAATTTAATTTAATTTAACAATATTTTAGATTTAATCAAAGAATAATTTATATGAATTAGTTTTACATGTATCTTATTATTATATTGTAGAGTAATCTTCAAACTATTGGAGAAAATGGTAATACATTAAGTGGTGGACAAAAGCAAAGAATTTGTTTAGCTCGAGCCATATATTCAGGAGCAAATGTTGTTGCACTAGTAAGTAATTTTTGCCAACATAGTCTTGTCCTTAATTTTATTACACATAATAAATTATTACAATTAAATCATGACATTATAAGTTCTGTATTAGTTTGGTTTTAAAATCAAATTGTACATTTTCTGATCTACTTTTCTGTAAACTTAATTTGAAACTCATGTGCGTTTATTCAATTAACAAGCAGTAGATTATTTTTAGCAATGGCTAGTTAAAATTATCAATAGTTATAATTTCTCATTATCATTAATGATATTGCTTTTTATATTTTTCCAATTAATAAAATTTCTTATATTTTTTCCAGGACGACCCATTTTCTGCTTTGGATGAACAAGTCTCCCAACAAGTTTTTGATTCGACGATACAGAACTATTTATTAAGAAAAAATATAACTGTAGTAATGGCAACTAATAAATTAAAATTGCTACAATATGCTGATCAGGTAAATAAAATGAAATTATATGAGTTTTATAATTTTTTGTAAGTTTCATAACTTTTAATTTGGTTGTGTGCTTCTTATATTACTCCATGTTATCTGTATACGCGAAAAAAAAGGAAGATATTTTTTTTTAAATCTTTTAAATAATATAATAATTAAGATTAAACTTGATTTTCAATCTAACAATCTATTAATTACATAAGATTATAGCATTAGAAGATAATAAGATTCGTGCAGTAGGATCCTTGAAGGAGTTAGAAGTGATAGATCCAATTTTAACAAAATCTTGGAAAAATTCATTATCAAATGAAAAGTCTGAAAATACAAGGTAATGTTGAATATATTTCTGTACACGAAATTTTTATTTCAGATATTGAATAAAAATTTTATTCCAGAACTGCTAAAGATCGATGGCGTCTGTGCAGAATGGTGACTTCAGCTAGTTTTCATTTTAACAAGAAAACTAATTTAATATCGAATACGGTATAGTTTATTTAATACAATAAAAATAGAGAATATTACCGTATATTACATAAATGTTCCCCGACATTTAATAAATATACCACATCTTGCTTGCTTGTCTTATCACTGATGTAGTCTCTGCAAATTATATACAAACTATATATTATTATCTATTATCTAATTAAAATTATATTAATTATAGTGCACAAGCACGTGCTTGTGTGTTCTAAAAGCACAGCTCATTACACCATTTTTTTTTAATTTTATATAATTACTAGCACTAGCACTAAATCTTAATAAGTGTTGGAATCTGGTTACAATTTACTTGGAATCTACTTTGAATTAGATTTCAGTATAATTTTATTATTTTGTATATTTTAGATTTCAGTTACAACTGAGTTCGAATCAATCTCGAACCCAATAAGAATTTAACAAAAATCTAGTACAAACTCAATAAAAATTTAGTTAGAGCGGAATCTGGTAATTTTAATAAAATTAGTAGATTAAAATTAGTAAATTAGTATTAGTAAAATTTCATAAGAATTTAGAGATGATCTTGCGAAAATCTCCTGAGAATTTCGTAAGGATCTAGTTTATTTGTCTGGAATCTAGTAAAATTAAAATTGGACCCTCATTAAAATCTATCAAGAATCCGCTTGGGGTTTGTGGGGTTTTGTAATATTTCAATCTAATTCAAGACTCTAGGAACTTTCCAACTACAAATTAGGTTTCAGTAATATTTTACTAGCAAATATAAGTTTTATTTTCATTTATTTTTTATAACGGTTATGAATTATTTAGAGACCAGAGTTTACACCACCGAGAAGTACTCGCTCCAGTATCGCATATGATCCATGTTTAAGTTTTGATTTACCTTTACTTTGGAACGAATTAACTGAAAGCAATGATGGTATGTTAATAAAACATATAATACTTAAATTAATTGATAATACCATTTCAATAAATTTTTAGGTTTACTAACGAGAAATTCATCAATACGCAGTTGTTATTCTCACAAGCCTACAGCTCGAGCAATATCCTTGCAAAGTCAAAGACATAGAAATTCGAGGATATTTAGGAATAATTTTGGTAATTTACCAAATATGGAAGAAATATCCGAAAAACCTAATGGGCATGAAGATATGTAAGATTATTTATCGTCCGCCATAACAACGAAATCTGATAAATTAATTTATTTTCCATATATGTTTCAGAAGATCTAAAAGGCATACAATCGATTCACCTCATGCAAGTAACATACTTCGTCAAATTTTATCGAAAACTCAAAATGTGAATAAAACTCTGAGCGATAATAAAAGTGGAGAACAGAGAAATATCTTTAGAAGGCTGGCAGATCGATTATCTTTCAGGTATTAAATGATAACTATACAAATATTATTTTTAGTAATAATAAATACGTTAATGTGTAATTTGTTTTTTTGCAGACGATCGAACAGGAGCAAAGAAATTAATCGGCACAAAATAATTTCTCGATTAATGTCTGATGCATCTGATATAACAGTCGATTTAAACGACCTAGCTTCTTGTGAAAGTATAGTAAACATTTATTCATTTATATATATATATATATTTGTTCATATTTTTTGAAATTAGATTTTATCTGTGATTCTTTTTCCTTAGCACATCAGATATCATCATTAAGTGAATATAACTACAACCAGAGAACGGCAGAAAATCAGGAGAGAATTTATGGAACAATTCCTTTGAATATTTATCTATATTATATAAAATGCTGTGGTATAAAAATATGCACTTTGTATATATTCCTAGCGTTTCTGTGGCAAGGATTAAGATTATTTGCTGATATGTCCTTAGGAAACTGGAGCAGAGAAAATATGGAATCATATGAAGGATTTGATCAAAGTCACGAGGTGAGATAGTAGATGAATATCAAACAATTTTTTCTAAAATTTTCAGAGAATTAATTTTGTTTCTATTATGATTTCTAGAAAGCATTCTCACTTCTATCAACATACTGTTACCAATCAGCAATATGTGCCCTGGTGTCATTGCTGTGTGCATTTTCTGGACAATGGGCCGGATTGGTGGCCCGTAGTAATATTCACGAGTATTTAACGACGGCCGTACTTAAAGATAACAATATTTATGGTGAAATCGGAAGCACAATTAATAGATTCTCCACCGACATGAGTGTCATAGATAAGGTAAATTCAATTAATAGTTTATTAATTTTTCTATCAATATAGATTAATATATGTACATATATAGATACACATGATTTTATGATGGATTAATATAATTTTTTTATCAATTTTTAGAAATTATGTTCGTCTATACAACGTCTGGTACAATTCCTGCTGCTTTGTTTATGTGCCATATTAGTTAACTGTATAGTGTCATTATGGTTTTTAGTTGTAACAATATTTATTGGCACTGCTTATTACGCCGTGCAGAAATTCTATAGAAGATCTTCCAGGTGGGATAATAAAAATTTAAAAAAATATAATTTTTTTTTCTAAAATTAATTAAAATGTTGAAATTTTATTTATCATCTTCTCAGAGAATTGCAGAGACTGGAAAGTTTATCCAGATCGCCCATTTTCACTTTATTCAGTGATACATGCAGAGGAGCACAGACTATAAGAATATATTCGAAATCTAAAGAATTTTCAAGACTTATGTTTCTCAAACTTGATGACAATACAAATTCACAATTACTTTTGGACACTAGTGCTAGATGGCTGGGTGTTGCCCTGGTAAGTGTACAATTAAAATAATCTAAAATAATTCTTTGGTTCTGTAATACCAGTCAATAAATAACATTTTTTTAATATGAATTATTTTTTATTTTATGAAGGATTGCTTAGGAGGTTTCATAGTTTTCGCATCTGCCTTGACTGCCCTATATTTTACCGAAAGTGAAAATTCTTCGATAGCTGGCTTTGCTCTAAATAGCACTTTGCTGGCGCCAATGTATTTGAATTGGGTAGTAAGATTTATTTCCGAAGTGGAAATTAGTGCAAATGCTGTACACAGGATTAAAATTTACTGCGATGATGCAGAGGAAGATATTGAATATGATCCGAAAAGTCAACTGAAGAAAATTCAGGACGATATTCCGGAAGAAAATTTTGATAAGAAAAACTCAGCTTCAAAGATATATTTAGAAGAAAATGACAAAATATATGATGGGGATGTTGTTCAATTAAGAAAGAACTCAAATGTAGAAGGTATGGGATGTATTCTTCTTTCTAGGCTCAGATAAAAGTCTATTCTGGCCATATTCTTATTAGGCTTTGACCATATTTTGTTGAATTCTGGCCAGATTCTTATAGAATTATTTCTGGATTCTTTCTAGATTCTATAAAATTTAATTGATTGATTTTTGAACGAAAGCAAAATGTTACTTACACCGAATTGCATACTAGATTTTTTAAATATTTTTTCAGGTTCTTTGTATCAAATCATATTCAACAAAGTAACTCTGCATCACCATCTACAGTCTAATGCAGTAATAACAAATCTGAATCTGGTCATAGCACCTGGGGAAAAGGTTAGCAGATATTTAATTTAAAAAAAATTAAAATAAATGTTACTTTTACTATTGTTGGATATCTAACTTTAACTCCTAAAATTTTAAATCAACAGTTGGCAGTGTGTGGACGTACAGCTAGTGGAAAATCTAGTCTATTTTTATCATTATTTGGGCTGATGAAAATAACCCAAGGAGCTATTATGTTAGGCAATGTAAACCTAACAAATTTAGATAAACAAAAGTTTACTGAAATTCGAGATAAATTGTGCTGTGTATCACAGGAAGGTGCCTTGTTTTCTGGCAGTTTTCGGCATAATTTAGATCCAAAAGGGTAAGAAATCAACTTTTACATTTAAAAGCAGTTTCTCACATTTTGTTTAATTTATTGTTCTAAAAGTATGGTTCAATCAAATATTTCAATACAACAAACAAAGTTATAAACTAAATGTTATTAGACTTTAGATATAATATGGTATTAAAACTTTATTATATTTTTAGTGAATATACAGATGAACAAATATGGGGTTGTTTAGAATTAGTAAAAATGAAAAACTTTATAGAAGAATTTCCTGGCGGTTTAGGTAAACATTTAAAATGAATACTTATTTATTTTACGGATTGTGAATAAATAAATTGATATTACAGATAATGAAATATCAACAGAAGGTGGATCTTTAAGTCATGGCCAGAGGCAATTAATATGTCTAGCCAGAGTAGCCTTAAAAGCAAAATGGAAATCTACATATCCTATTATATTAGGTAATAACATAATATATTATTTTTATAATATTTGGTAGTGGATTTATACATATAGATTTCTTAAAAATCTATTAAATCAATTCAACGACTATATGGAATTTTTAAATCCTCTTGAATATACGATTAAAATCGGAAGTCTCCAAAGTACTTATACAATTAGTATAGAACTACATTAATATAGAAGTGGATTTATATATACCTAAATCAATATAAAAATTTAAAATTGTGTCTTAAATTTCTGACTGAAAATTGCCATTATCTTCTATATTCTTGTAAGACTTTCATGGGATTCTTATTGGATTCTCACTAGATTCCTTTTTTTCTAGATTTATATAGCATAAATTTATGAAGTATTGCACAAATATTAATTTTTTCGCGTACCTTTTACTAATGATAAATATGAAAATTACCTAGTTTGCAATTCAATGCTCTGAAAATATTCATTTTTTATCAATTTTAATATAAGGCATAAATGCCTCTGAATATAAAAATACATTTACAGTATCGAATTATTACCTACACAGATTTTTTTTCATTTTTTATTTATTTATTTATTATGTTTTAGATGAATGTACAAGTGCAGTGGATCCCCAAACTGAAAAAATTGTTTTAAAAGATTTCTGGAAAACTTTCCACGATAGAACAATCATTTGCATAGCTGTAAGTACATGGCACATTAAAATTTAGTTTATAAAATTTCATTCATAATTTTTTTTAGCATCGTCTGTCTGTTATAATGGATTTCGATAGAGTTATCGTTCTGGAAAACGGCAAAATTATTGAAAATGATCGTCCAGAAGTGCTTCGTCATTCACAGAATGGAAAATTTGCAGCAATGTTGAAAACTTCGGAAATGTAATAAATGTACAAGAGGAATAAATATATGCGCGCTTGTGACATTAAATTTTAAAGATAAACGCTTGAATGCTATAAATAATATTTTCAGTGTGATAGTGCAGTGAGTATTAAAAATAATTCAGTAGTTTTTCATCTTTTTTACATTACGAAAGGTTTTATTTAAAATATAGAATTCCTGCATAAATGTGTCTTTTCTTGCATTTATTCCAGAAATTTTATTTTTGATAAAATCGATTGAAAAAAATCTAATTATAGAATATAATATATAAAAAATATAATTACATTTAATTACAGATACAATTACATTACATTTAATCAAATATATTTTATTTCAAAGCACTTTTCGTATGCCTATAATATTTTAGGATGTTCGTTAAGACTATAAGCTCACACTACAAACTTTAACAAAATCGTTAAAAATTTGTTTTCAATGATTACGAAGAAACTCCTTTTAGGTCTTATTAAAAGTTAATCAGCACGATTCTAAACTGATATTTTTTAAGAAGCTCATAGTTGTAACAGAAATCCTAAAATAGTACAACTAATACAATGGTTTACAAAAAGATGTGTAATTAAAAAACTTCATCAAAGAATGGAAAAATGGGTCGAGTCAAAATTTGACAATTTTATTCTAAAGTTTTTTAAATTTGCAATTCTAGAAGGTGATGATGTGGGTGATATTAGCAAATTGGCACGTGACCATACCTATGATTATATCCCTCCAAATAATTTAAAAGAATATTGATAATATAATATTTTTAATTAAGAATAATGTCGCATTTATATGAACTATATAAAAATCAATTTGTTTTACAAATTAGGGACAGTCTCAATAAAAATTTATAACTTTTTTTTATGTTTTCGATTTTTTTCACAAATTGTTCGAAAGCTTATAAAAAACTACTGAGCACTACTGAGCTTATAAAAAATCTAAAAAAGTGAGAAATTCACCAATTTTTTGCAAGAAACCAATTCTTAAAAGAAAAATTATCTTTTTAATACAACATTTCACTTTAGTGAGTTAATTATAATTTTTTTAAATTTTTTTTAGGTTCAACTAGAATAGAATTTAATCCTGAAAACAATCAATTTTGTCTCGTTTCGATAGGACGTTTAGTTTTTGTGGTATCTTTTCCGCCAATTAGGACGAATCGAAAAATTAAAAACATAATTTAAATTTGTTTCTAAAATTTAAGGGATTATTCTTAGCTAGTTTTAGAAGACATTTTTGCAAAAAAAAAACGATTTTTAAAAAGCTTCTAAAGCAGACTCCCCCCTTAAAGCAAATGATCACATACACCCATTCATTATTCGTCATAATACGAAGTGATCGTATTTACATGATATATGTATATATATATGCATAGCTGGGCACCGTTAATCAAATAGTTAACTTCGTTAATCGTTAATCCGCTACAAAAAAAGTTAGCTTCGTTAAACGTTAAATCGTTACATTTCGGAAGAATTAACGCAAGTTAACGTTAATCGTTAATCCGTTAATATGTGTAAAGTTACATTTTTATATCATTGTGTTAGTAAACTTAAAAAACTTATTGGTTTGGGTTCTGGAAAAAACAAAATACTTGTATAATTCAAATGTGTAATTTAACCCCGTGTGTATAAGGAAAATAGCGCGACGCGCTTTATGCACACACCGTGATAATGACGCTATTGGTCAACTTTCCGTTTTTATGATTGCATATTGTTTTTACAAGAATTTTTAACTTCCCGAAGGAGAAATTTATGTTTTCATCAAAAAATCCGATTTGCTAATTTTATGTTTTCTCGACGTTTCAAGCCATTCTGAATCGAATAAGACCAAATTTGGAAAAAGTATGTGTGTGTGCGTGTTGAACAGATTTTTTGCCGTAAATCGACGTTCTCTCAAAAACGGTTCGACCGATTTCAAAAATTTAAAAGCCAATCGATGTAATCGATGAGGATTATCGTTTGTCGGATTCGTGCGACGATCTGTCGAGCCGTTTCCTTGTAAATAGCAGAAAAGTGACAAAATTTTCGTCCACGTTTTAGCCCGCAATTCTGAATCGATTCTGAAAATTCAATAACCGTTCGAAAGATATTGGTTCGGAATCGTGCTGATTAGTTTTTGGTAACGATCGGCCGAGCCGTTTTCTTGTAATAAAGTTAAAAAAATCCGACAATTTTTATGATTTTTTTTTTGACGGTAGATATCATAGTCTTCTAGATCATACTAAAATATTACCGCCCTACGACAACTTGTTTAGCTTTAAATATTTGTCAAAGTTTGCAAAAATTGGTATCGTTTTTGGCATTTGTCAAAATTAGACCTTTCATCGACGTTTGCTCAAAAATGCCTGAACTGTTTTCAGAAATTTAAAAGCCATTCGATGTATCTCAATGAGCACTATAGTTTATCAGTTTTGTGAGACGATCTGCCGAGCCGTTTCTTTGTAATTTAAAAAAGAGTGTTAACTTTTTGTCCACATTTAAACTCATTCTACAGACTCGATTTTAAAAAATAAAAAACTGTTCGAAAGATATTAGTTGGGAATAATACTGATTGGTTTTAGGTGAAAATGTACCGAGCCGTTTCCTTGTAATTAACTGTTGAAAACAAAATTTAAGCCGATTGTTATCAAACTTTCTTTGGCGATGTATATCATGGTCTTATAGAACTTACTCAAATATTACGGCCTTACGACAAGTAGTTTAATTTTAAAAAATCATCAAAGTTTGAGAAAATGAGTAGTTTTGTTGACGTTTGTTAAAATTAAAATTAGATGATTTACTTTGTATAACGATAGATTACTTGGTCTTAATGAACATACTAAACCATTAACGTCCTAAGAAAACTGGTTTAATTATAAAAATTATTGATTAGTGAAAATTTGCTTTTAGAAAATACTCCGAGTTAACGTGTTCGTTCGTTTTCAATTATGCGTAATAAAAGCTCTCGGAATACTTCTAATCATCATAAATTAATTTGTTTATTAAGTCGATTATTTACACATATCGGAAGTTCATGTAACTTGCCTCAAGGCTAAATACCAACTAATTTTCTAAATAAAGGGAAAGAGTTATTTTTGCGAAAAATAGGAAACGCGCGACGGGTTAAGCGTCGGGCATAAGTGCATATTCCCCTTCATGAACATTAACATGTTCGAGTTCTCGTCTGAAAGCGAGGCTTGTTTTGGTGTCAAAATGTCTTTACCCGTGGAAAATAAACGTTCAACTGCAGCGTTTGAGGGTATAGCAGTATTGTATTTAATAAATAGATTTGTGAATATCTGTTCCCCGAGGAATGCAGCAGACTTTGCGCTTTATTCTTTAAAGAGAAGACAGAATTAAAAACGTCTTTCTCCTCGTCATCATCGTTGTTATTGGCATTGCTCCCTCCGCCACTTAAACTGTCCTTCGAATTTTCCGCTGCTTCTTGTCGTAAGGCATCTTCTACCTTTTTTTCCATGCATTTTCTTACTGCATTCCTCTCTACTGCTGTCATACGTTTCCAGCCACATTAACCGAAACTTTGGGTGAAATGCCGCGGCAAGTTGGCACTGTTTATCATTCAGGAGTGGTCCAAATCTTGCGGTGCCGTGCGGTAAATAGTAGGCATTGGATTAACGATTAACGGACTTCTGGCATTTTAACGGAAGTTAACGTGTCCGTTAACATTTTTAAAAGTTAACTTAAAAGTTAATCCGTTAATCAAAATGTTAACTTCGTTAATTAACGATTAACGGATTAACGAGTTAATGCCCAGCTATGTATATATGATATATATAAATATGATTAATATATATATAATATATATATATCAAATGTATAAATATACAATGACATATTTTTTATACTGTTTCGTTGATAGCGTTATCACTCCTGAAATAATTTGCGCTGTATGTATAATATTTATACGCACCTGAACGCACACATTCATATAAATAAATACTGTGGAAATAATAATGTACCTTTGTGAATTGTGACCGTGTAAATTTATATAATGTCATTTTCAGTAAATGATAACTAGTCTATTGATACACTCGGTGTGCATTGGTTATAACTAATTGTACGTATAATTAGAAATACATACATACATATATTGTATATATATATATATATATATATATATATATATATGAATATGATATTTGTACACACGTATGCGTACATATGAAAATTAGATTAACTATACAAATTGTGCGAAATAAATAGGTTAACAGTGTATAAATTAACAATTGTGGTGATTTATATATATATATATATATATATATATATATATATACAAAATAATATCTAGTGTTCAAAGGGATTTTACAGAAGTTATTATTATCACAATGTGCTATAACAAATAAATTGTTTACAAAATTATAATATGATCCTTAAGTAGTGCAAACTGTTGTGAATGTAATAGAACAAAAATCAGGAACAAATACATAAAATAGATTAAAGGTAAGACTATATGATTACTATATATATTATTATATATATATATATATTATATATCTATATATATATATATATGTATATATATATATATATATATATATTATAGTGGATCGATTTGCATGGGTCAAAAAGTCGCTTAGGCACATATGATTTTCATGAGATCAAAATACTTTGATACTTTGCTGAAGAAACCATGTCTCTAAAATGAATTATGATGTCCGGTGCATTGGCCCAAAATAAGGGTTGAAATTTGAAAAAACTCATTTTGATGCATTTAGAGTGGCCCAATCGCATCCAAATGTATGGCCTCCCCAAAAGGTTTTTCAAAATGTAACCCTTATCTTTGGGTCAATGCACGGGACATCTGAAATCATTTCAGGGATATGGTTTCTTCAACAAAGTATCTTACTTTTTGATCCCTAGAATCCGAAAATCATATGTGCCTAAGTGACTTTTAAATTGACCTGCCCTAATATATATATATATATATATATATATATATATATATATATATAGAATTACATTCATGTATCGTATTTTTATTTGTTATATCTTTTAGTAATCTTGCAATTTTTTAAATCTTTGTAGCAATACTCCACTGTAATGGTGTATTTTTTGTTTTACATTTACAAAATATACATTTCAAAAGTATGTTTCAATGTCGAACGAAAAAATCTAAAGTTTTTATATATATATATATATATATATATATATATATATATGAATAATTGTGTCATGTTTGTCACAATACTCCTTCGAAACGGCTTGAACGATTTTGATTAAAGTTGGTGATCACGTTCAGTAATACTGAGAATCGGCCAACATCCCTTAAGTTTTTTATTTTAGTGATTGGACCATTTTTCAATTTTTTTTATAATTCACAAGTATAGCCCTAAATTTGACCCTCCTACCACAAATCTCTATTTCGTAAAAATTACTTAGTTATAGTTCGAGTTGGTATAAGCTTATAATTAGAATTATTAGATTTTAGTACTATTTTTTTATTATTTATTTTTTGACTTTGTATACAAGTACATTAGTCATATACATTTTTTAAGTTAACTTTACAATTTTATTGTATTAGATAATTATATAGCGCGCTATATATTCTTTTTTTTTTGTCAACAGTGTTATAAAATTAGTTGGGAGGGAGATATTTTGCCTCACTACTATTTTATTCTTTTTATAATATTTTGGATTTCAGTTATAATTTAGTATTAGTTCAAATCTAATTTTTTCGAATTTTCTATATCGCTTGTATTTTTAAACTAATCAAACCAATAACATATTTTTCACCAATATGATTGTTTGCTTTTCTTGGACCACTTTTGGTGAATTCAGAAAAAAATGTATCATTTACATTATGTTTTTATCAAAATTATATTCCTTTCCGCAAAATTATTCCACAAACGTAATTTTTTACTCGTGCAATTATATAAATGTCTTGAAAGATAAGTACAAAGATAAATGTACTCATATAATTGAACCATAATTTATATTAATTGCATATTGGAGCTTATATGTAGTACATTGTACAGTTATAAAAATGACTTTCTGAGGATGATCAAAATTATCCTAAATAATATCAAAAAAATTCCTTATCAATTTTATCACATAATTAAATTTTCGCAACATAATGCAAGTCACTAGAATTATAATACTCCAACATTTATCTCAAAATTGTAGTTTACAAACTCTTGAATATTTAATTATTTATAGAAGACAAAAGTTTGAAGACAAAATAAATAGTTTTCGCGTAATTTTTTACGTGCTATAAAATTATCAATATAGGCAATAAAATATTTATCATGAAGTGACTCATTTCTTGAATTTTTGCGTAGTAGTATTGATAATATATAGCATTTTGACGTAAGTAGAAACTCGTTATTAAACTATTGAACTCTTTTATTTTTATAGCTGATTGTTGGTGCACCTTTTGCTCTCGAAACTATAAAATTTTAAAGAAATTTATATTCTGTGTCGAAGCATTAGCTAATAAATATATCACATGCTATATATCTATATTTAGCTTATTTTCAATATTGGGATCATGAGGTGACATCATAGACCATGACTTACTAGATTTTATTCAGGGTTTTTTTTTTGCAAAACCCAAAATAACAAAAAACCACAGACCTTATCCCATCACAATTACTATAAAATTATTAAAATGATATATGACATTTAATCAATCGGAAGAGTCCGCGATTGTCGTCGGCAATGTTCGCTCAGACATGTGACGTCACATACCCTTCTAAGTTTAAACGTACTATATAAGGGAGTGCCCATTAAACAAGTGAGGTTTTTCGGGGAGGGGGGTTTGACAAAAAATCATGAAGTATCACTTGTGGGAGGGAGGGGTAAAGTAAGGTATCACATGTATTTATTTTTTACCTGATTTTTTGTTAAAAATCAAAATATTTTCAAAAAAAGATAAAAAAAATTACAATTTTTTCTCGTAAATAGAAGTACCAGTGATGTTTGATTAGGGAGGAGGGTAATTTGGAATATAACTTCAGATCACCAAGGGGGAAGGGGGTCCAAAAATCCTTGAAAAATCGATCACGTGATTAATGGACCCCCCAAAACGGAAAACGTATGAGGACTAGTTGGACTACATGGACTGATGTAGTTAATTATAAAATTAATTAATTATTAATTACAACATGTATCACTTCATTTGCAGCTGTTAATGTGGAAGTTAATTGCCTTTGAATACAAAGCTTGGCTGAGAGAATACATAATATAAAATTTGTATAATGTGTAATGTAAAGTTAATATTCAAGTCACGAACGGGCTATAAACGTTAACACATTTGATTCTTTTTAATTAACGGAAACAATTGTGTAAACAACAGCGAAACATTTATTTCTAAGATAAGAGTTTTGCATCAATTAACATCTCTGTGAATTGTAACGCGCGCACTATACTACTGAATTATTAATACAATATTATATAGATATAGTGATATAAACCATATTATTTAATTATTATTCAGCCAATGCTTTGGTACTCGATTCTGAATGTAGTAGGATTCTTAATAAGATTCTTACAAAAATTTTATAAGAGGCATTCATTAATCACGTGGTGATCGATTTTTTTAAAAGGTTTTTGAAACTCGCTCACCCTTGGTAATACGGCATGGTGATTTAAAAATTAAACCTTCGTCCTCCCCAAAAATACACGTGATGTATTTTTAGTTACGACAAAGATTGTAAATTTTTTTTTTTTTTTTTTGAAAATGTTTGAACTTCTTTAAAAAAAAAATAGGCAAAAAATAAATACACTTGATAGCTTACTGTACCTCTTCGTGATTTTTCTCAAAATAATTAAAAAAAACAATTGATTTGTATTGATAAGGAGACGTGCTGATTAGTTTTTGGTAAAGGCAGGTCGAGCCGTTACCGAAGATACAGGGCAAAAAATGCCAAAAATTCTAATTGATTTTTTGAGAGAACGGGGCGTCCGATTTGTATGATTCAAAAAGCAGTTTATTTGTATTGACAAAATGAAGAACTGATAAGGGCAGGCGGAAAAAATGATCATTAGACATATGTACATCAAAATATCACATAATTTATAGATGTTTTAATAATAATAACAAGTTTTGTTCACTTTTCTATGGGTTCCGTAACGATGTTTATACGTTACACTGCGACTCGGCGCCCACGCGCTTCGATATTTCGATTCTACTCAGCTAACGTATCGCGATTGCTTTGAAAAAAAGTTCAAAATTTCAAAAATTCTAAAAATCTCAAAAATCTTTTTTTTTCAGAGTTCTGAAAGAAAATTCAATCTTTTAAAACTTTTAATTTTTGATACGGAAAGTTGCAGCAACTTGCTTCAAGGCACGATGCCATGCACAACTAGTTAAGTTAAATAATTAAGTGCGAAGTTTATTTGTTTGATCGACATGTAAAAGAACCAGAACTTTATGATAAGAACTACAAACCTAAAACATGACAAATTCCTTGAAATTATTTTTATCTATCATATCAAAATAACATTGTTCATTCATTTTATCAGTTTGACAATTATCAAGGTAATATAATTGTAAAACAAAGCAAATTATTAATATAAAAGTTACATGGCAAATGTAAATTCAAAATAATAAAGAATTCTTATTATAGTTACCATATTAACTAATTATAAGCCTAAATGTAAATAAGCCAACTTATACAATGAAAAATGTAGATTTATAATTTCAAATAGCAGTGTAATTCAACATTAGCCAAGTTAAAATTTTATTTTTTTCATAGAAAGTATTTCAATTGGTTACTGAATATAATAAAATTGCTTTTCCTGAAATGATGCTATTTCTTAATTTTTACTACGTTTTTTCGCTGTGGTCAACAAAATTGTAACTTTTTCAAATTGTAGGTAATCTAATTATAAAAATTTATACTCATCAACTCTTTACCAATATTACATGAACGTTAATATTTTTATACACGTAAATATTCAAGATAAAAATAATATGAGCTTAACGGGATATAAATTTGTTAATTCTAATGCCGCGATAAGATACTATTAAAGCAAATAAATAAAATCGCGCATAAATACAATGTCAAGATTGCTAAAATTTTAACATCACAATAGCTATATAATTTAATTTAATTTGAGTTACAAGATAAATTAAAGAAATTTTATTTTTATTATAATCTTGAGAATTAAAACTAAATTGGAACATGCACACTGATTTTTAGTTTAAGATTATAACTGTTCAATTTCTACTTGAGACCACGATGATCTATCTTTGATAAATTTTATATTTTTTTCAGCATGTACTATAAAATCTAAAAATTATATTAAGATATTTATTTGTTCACACTAGCGCAACTTAAATAACATTTTATCTAAATCTTTTGCCGAATATTAATCGAAGCTTTTTTAACTTCCCGTAGGGCAAGTTATAGTAATCGCAAAAAAATCGAAAATGAAAATTTTTATATATCTTTACGTTTCAAAGGTTTCTGAACATTTTGGCATACCTTGGAAAAAATGAATGTATATGTGTGTGTGTGTGTGTGTGTGTGTGTGTGTGCTCGGATACAAATTTTCGTCGACGATTTCGGGAACACCGATCAACCGTTTTAAATAATTCAAAAAACATTTGATTCATATTGATAAGGAGACGTGCTGATTAGTTTTTGGCGAAGGCAGGTCTAGCCGTTCCGAAGAAACGGGGCAAAAAGTGCAAAAAACGGTAACTCAGTTTTTAAGAGAACGGAGCGTCCGATTTGAATAATTCAAAAAACATTCTACTTGTATTGACAAGGTGAAGAACCGATCATTTTCATAAAGGCAGGTCTAGCGATTTCTAATGAAACCTAATGAAAAATGAGATCTAATGAAAAAAGTAAAATAATGCCATTTGGCGGTCAAAAATGATCATTAGACATATGCACATCAAATTATCAGATATTTTATAGAGATTTTAACAATAAGTATACATTTTGTTTGCATTCCTATGGGTTCCGTACCAATGTTTATTTGTTAGACGGCGACGAGGCGCTTACGAGCCTTGACATTTTGTCTCTATGCAGTTAAAGCTGTACGATTGCTTTAAAAAAAGTTCAGAATTTCCAAAATAGGTCAAAATAAAGAAAACATTTTTTTTTCAAAAAAAAAAATTTTTCAAACAAAGTAATTTTTTGTCAAATTTATAGTTTCTCAAGAATCTAATTTTTTCGAAGTAAAATTTTTTCAAAAATGTTAATCGTTTTTAAAAAATTAATAATATTTGGTACGGGAAGTTCCAGCAATTTGCCTCAAGGCACGATGCTCTAATTGCCTTAAGGCACGATGCCCTAATTGCCTTAAGACAGAATTCCACTTACAGCTAGTTGTATTTTAAGTTGTACATTATATATGACTAATGCATTTATTATACATTCATTAATTATTTTGTCGATTTCTATTTAACAGTTCTAAACAAGATGCCTAGTTGTAACCCGTTCTCATTTGTGAAAGGAAAATATAACCTAAAACATATCAAAGTCCAAGAAAGCAAAGTGCCTGAAGGAAGAATAACAGTAAGGATAAAATCATATAGATTATTTTATATTAAACTTTAAATAAATGTGAGCAAATATATTAGATGTAAAGTATATAATTTATTAATCAATATAAATTTTTTGAGGTATTCCAACTTCAAGGCCCTGTAGTCCAACAAAATGGTAACACCTCTGCACCACCAGTGATGCGAAATCAGGAAGGCAATAGACTATACAATCGTCAATTCAGTCGACAAAAGGAAGAACATATTAAACATGTGGAAGGTATTGTTTCTTGAATTTAGGCATCACTTTGGGGCCAATTTTCCGGAAAAATAGGCTATAACGTAGCGTTGTTATGGCAACATCAATACTTCATTCACAGACGGCTTTGTTGAAAATACTTATACCCTATAAATAATATATGATGTATTTGATCTTGTAATTGACTTCCCTTAGAGTAAGTAATAGTAATGGGCAGAAAATCAAAAATGGTAATTTTTGCATTTTTTCACGTTTTGAAGGTTTCTGAACGCTTTGGCATTCCTCAGAAAAAATGTGTGCGTTCACGTTTTCGGGCGCACGGGCGCAACCGATTTGAATGGTTCAAAAAACATTCTATTTCTATCGATAGGGAGATGTGCTGATTAGTTTTTTGCAAAGGCAACTTCAGCCGTTACGGAGATACGGAGCAAAGAGTGCAGAAAATAGAAATCGAGTTTTGGAGAAAACGGACCATCCGATTTTAATGATCCTAAATCCTAAAAACATTCAATGTGTAATGATGTGGTGACTAGTTTTTGACAAAGGCAGTTGCGTCCGTTTTCGAGATACGGAGCCAAATGTGCGAAAAATGGCAGTTTTTGAGAGAACTAAGCATCCGATTTGAATGATTCTAAAAAATTTCTGCTTTTGTTGACCAAACGATTGTTTTTGGGAAAACAAAACAAAATATTTCAATTTTTTTGTATTTACAAAAAATTTTTTTAAATATCGAAAATAATTCGGATTTTCAAAATTTTAATTTGATACGAGAAGTTCCAGCAATTTGCCTTAAAGAACGATGTCATACACCACTAGTTTCTTATTGTTTAAGGACCTTGTAATCTGGTACAATGGCTATTTTCTATTCTTTTCTACCTTTATATAATATATACATTTTATATAATATTTAGTTGAAAGAAATGAACAGGTTAATGTCGAACCTGAATTTCATGATTTTAAATATTGTTTTTTTTAAATTTATATCAATTTTGGTTTACAGAACTCAGAGCTGAAAAACAAACTCGAAGAGCCACTGCATACATTCCTGATATAGAGATTGATAAAAATAATTCGGACGATGAAGACAATAAGTAAGTTGAAAAATATCTGAATAGAAAAAGAAGTTATTTAAAAAAATAAAATATAAACTGCAAAACTCATAATAAAAGCATATTTATGACAACAATGTATTCTAATTCTTTCAAGACGTATATTCCAATTTTAGGCAACCAGAAATCGTTTTCAAGAAAGTCAGCAGGGAATCTGTAGCCAAAATCCAATACCCTGATATGCATGGTTGTTCATTTTTAGAAGCAAAATTGACTGATGTTCCACCAAATAGAAGCAGCAATGAAAGAGTGTCATTTGAAGCACGTGATCCTAAAGATTTTATTCAGGACACGAAGAGAAATTCGTTTTTGAACATTGCCAAAGTAAGAAAACCAACATAAATTGATAATGTTGTTTTTATTTTAATGTAGTTTCATGAGTAGTATCCATTGATCCATTAGTCCAAGTTATACTGTTAGTTTTATTGAAAATTGGTATATGCTTATGCGATTTTACTGATATCTTATCAATTTCAATATTTTCATGAATCAGATAATCAATTGCATATTTGCAATTTTAGTTTCTAATGATTTTTCGTTTCCCATTTAGGAAGAAGAAGATTTGCACAGAATGTCCCAAGAAAGCGTTGAGTATGATTATAGAAAAAAACAAGATTCGCTTACATTACCAAAAACAAGTATGGAATCACAAAGTGAGGTAAAAATATAAAATTGTATTTTTTAAATTATTAACTTATTTTAAATAATCTTAGAATAGCTAATTTTGATAAATTTTTATATTATGATTTTAGGTATCAGATAAAGATGTAAGGATGAAAACTAGCATCACAAACTCATCACAAAAGTCGTCTTTGATAGGGTCTACGAAATCTGTATCTGTAGACATGAGTACTTCGCCATCTAGTAGCATTTCTAAAAAGGTAAATAATAAGGCTGTTATAAAAACCGATATTCTAAAAAAACGGTTTTTAATAGTCTTTTTTAAACCGGTTAAAATCATTTTTTGAAAAAAGTACTATTGAAAAACCGGTTTTCTGTGGTCTGTTAAAAAAACCATTTATTCGAATTATTCAAATTACAGGAATTTTCGAGTAATTAAAATTTACTATTCAATTATAATAGTTTTTTAACGAAATTTAGAAGAACAAAAAAATAATGATTGATCAGGATTAAATAGCTTTAAAAACCATTATTCGTTGTTTGTGCAAAAATTTTAGATATAAGAGTGTAAATGTTTTTTTTAATAGTGAAACGAAGGACGACTATCATATATATACAATGTTCTTATTGTCATTTTTTAAAGTTTGATATGTTGAAAACCGGCATTTTCTACTAAAAACCGGTTTTGGTATTACATAATATGCTCCTTGAAAAATCGGTCTTCAAATACTGACAAATCCTAGAAAATAGCTAATTGAGACATTTCTGATTATTTTCTAAATTGTTTGCTGGACTTTCACCATTTACTAAAATCAGCAATACATTACATTTAATATATATATATATATATATATATATATATATATAAATATATATATGTGTGTGTGTGTGTGTGTGTGTGTGTGTTCATTATGTTATGTTCATTTTTATCTTATACATGTTTTATGGCAATTAGACAATACAAATTTACTTAAATTAATTTTAATTTGACGTAAACTTAAATATATGCAATAAAAACAATATTAAAAATGTTTTTGTGTCAAACATATTGAATTATTTTAAAGAGTATTAAACTAAAACAATGTTTAAGAAGAATGTATAAATCATTCTGTGTAAGTTGGAGTCATCATAATAAAAAACATGAAAAAGTAAGCCATGTCAATTATTATAATTATGAATTAATATTTGTTTTATGGATAGCTAACATATATTTATGTAATAAATCAATTTTAATGACTTTGCGATGTTTACCAGGTTCTCGTAAAACTGTAAAGGTAAATCTCTTCATTGCACCCTTAGTTTTGCCATGAAAAATTTATAGATATAGATAATTTTTTTTAAATATTTTTTTATTTTAATACACGAGCTTTTAAAACTAGCTTAATTTTAGAGCTTTAATGATTTCAAAATACATGCACATTACAAAAAAAAATGGGTTTGGAAAGTTCTTGATAATGCCGTATTGGAAACTTTGGTACCCTGGAAATATGATCTAAATTCAAGATTGAGATTTTTTACAAATGGATTTGAACAATTTAGAAGGACCAGCAGGTCTATGTTTAAATTCAAATTAACTATAAATTAAACGTGTTATTTTTCAAATTTATAAAATCATGTTTTTCCCATTCAAAGCAATGAAAGTATATTTCTGTTATTTATTAGGACATGACAGTATCAGATTTTGTTCAAGGAGAAGACGATGACGACAGTGACAACAGTTCTATAAGACCGAATCGTAAAGCTGGAGTTTTATCTGCACCAGTTGACGATGAAGAAAATCTGGACAATATTTCTTTGGATTATGTTGAAAAAGATTACAAGTATGAAAATAATTAAGCAGAGTAGTATTATATTTTATGCCAAAATAAATGAGAAGCAAATAACGAATTTGCTTTCACCATCTAAATTTCTACAAATACTTACAAAAACTAAACAAAATTTTTGTTTCCTTGCTATTTCACTCATCAAAATTTACGTCTAATGCTATCCTGAAATCTAGTATTTATCTCGAGAGAGCAAGCTAGCGGTCAAAAACTCTTTTGTAGACTATATATGTATACTAGATAGTAACATCCACAAAAGACGATTTTCACTTGAAATTATATTTGATATCTATAACCTGAAGTGAAAATTTGATATCTTACTGCTTGATATCGAGCTGGCCGTGGTTGTGATAGAACCCGGTATAAGCAAATTATATTGCAGCATTTATATTGATTTTTGTTACAAATATGTACCACAATAAATTATAATTTTATTTTACAGAACTCGTCAATTAATTGAAATGGCAATATTAAACAATGATTTTTTGAAGAATATAATGTACGATGATAGATTGGAACGTGTAATAAGTGCAATGACATCACAGCAATATGATGCTAATAGCTATGTTATAAATGAAGGAGAAGTTGGTGAGTCTCAATAATTATTATAAGACAATCTACTTTATATATTTTTTATTTGGATTATTCTTTATGAGTTGTATGATTATCAAGCAAATTAATCTCAAATACTTCTAAACATCTGAAAAATTAGTACGGTGGTACCCCGCCTTATTAATAAAAACACTTTGATGGAACGAATTAGTAGCACTTCAATGTATTTATATGAAAAATTTGCTTCGAGGCGGGGTACCACTGTATTTCTTTTTAATCAAATGGAAGTATTAATCACGTGATCAATTTTTTAAGGATTTTTGGACCCCCCCTCCCCCTTGATGATACATGGTGATATTCAAAATTAGCCCCCCTCTTCCCCATCAAATATCACGTGTATTTTCAGTTCTGAGAAAAAAATGTATTTTTTTTTATTTTTGTTGAAAATGTTTGAATTTTAAAAAAAAATCAGGTAAAAATAAATGCACGAGATATAACCATTCCTTCCTTCCCCCACGTGATATTTTGTAATTTTTTGTCAAACCCCCCTCCCCCTAAAAAAATCACGTGATTAATGTACGCCTCCTAAACAAGTCAGTATTTTTATTCTTTTCTAATTGGTATTATTTCTTTAAGGTTGAAAAAGTTTGTATCTTATCTTATTTCTATCTTGTGTAATATATTTGAAGTAATTTTTCAGAAACGCGCCAAAATTCAGAACTTTTGAAAATTTCATTTTGTATTTATTTACCATTACCATAATGTACCCTACGGGAAGTTAATTATATTAATTTAAGATTATTTTAATGTAATTTCGAATTTGCAGGATCGAATTTATATGTATCGGCTACTGGAAATTTCGAAGTAATAAAAGATGGCAAAGTTGTTAAAACTTTTGGTCCTGGAGTTGCTTTTGGAGAGCTTGCAATTCTGTACAAAGCAAGAAGATTTGCTTCAATAAGAGGTGAAATTACAAAAAAAATATTTAACAATAATTTCATCGAGCTGGTGGCAATAACTTGTTCAAATTTAAATCAGTGTGTTTTTTAAACAAACAAATTTATTTAATATTTGTAATAATTTCAGTAACGACACCAGCAACAGTATGGACCCTCGAAAGAACTATGTATAGCAAAATTATGATTGGAACCAGAAGGCAAGAACAAGAGGAGAATGTTAGATTTTTATATTCGTTCCATTATTTCAAGATGTGCACCTGTGGAGATCAATAGAATTTGCGATATTTTGAAACGTGTATGAAATTTATTTATTTATGCTCACTAATGCATAGGATTTTCATTTTATTTTTTTATATTAAAAAAAATCATATTAAAAAATTATCATTTTAAATATGAAGAACGCTCAGGGCTGTTATAGAACGACTATTCAAAATATCGTTGTAGTTTCTTGTTATTTAGTTTTTTCTCTTAGAGTATATTATTATTGATATCCGTTTGCTCACCGTTGATATAAATTTTTATTTTTTAATATTAAAGAAAAATCATTCATATTTATTATATTAAAACAATTACCATTTATATAATCTCTATAAAAGCTTACATACGAGTAAGGTAAAAAGAACCAAGTCTTTGGCAAATGTGTAAATAAAAAGAAAGTATATTAAGTCTAAAAAATGCAATTCTAAAAGAGATAAATTAATATAATAGTTATTCGACCTCTGTTGATAAATATTTTATTCGAAATGCCATAACAAGTTTATATACAAGGACATTTTTCTAAAATTTACACAGGTTAAATATTGTAGCTATTATTTTCTAAAATCATTTTAAAACTTAAAACGTTTGATCTGTTTGACCCCTGGCTGTTCCTTTTTACACAGCCGATGGGTCAAATGGGAACAGATGACAGATTTTAGAAAGATCTTAGAAAAAAATATTTCTATAGTTAGGAATTAACTGAAAATTTTACTGAACATACTTCGATAGTTGTTTGTTCTAATCAGTTTCCCAATGTGTATATCAAAATCGTTTGCAAAAATTGTCAAGTTTCAGCTTTGCTCTCTTTATCGCTTTCCTGTTTATATTATCATAATAAATTCAATTACTTTTTATCAGCGAAAAACTGTACATTTTTTCTCTCGAGCAGGAATTTTATCAAACTGGTACTGCCATAGTTCGTCAAGGAGAACCTGGTGACAAATTTTATATTATTCGTGGTGGAAGCGTCGAAGTCACTCGCCGGGAGTCCGATTTAGAGGCTGATGCCCCTGCTGGTATTCTTAACAGGGGCGATTACTTTGGAGAACAGGTTAATTTAATATAATCTATATAATCAGTTTTAATTAACTTCACGTGCGAGGCGTTTATTTGTTCGATTAGCAAAAACTTATGTTTTTTCGTTTCAGTCATCTCGAGTTTTGTAACACCGAAATTGAAAAATGCATGTAGTTTCTTATTAACTTCATCTTAACTACCCATAGGGTAAGTTATAGTAATAGCCCGAATCTAGAATGAAAATTTTTGCGTATCTTCACGTTTCATAGGTTTCTGAACATTTTGGCATACCTCAGAAAAAATTGATAATGGTGTGTGTGTGTTTTGTATGTCCGCATTTTTTCGTCCACATTTTCGGGCGCACGGATAGATCGATTTGAATAATTCAATAAGCATTCGATTTCTATTGGTAGAAGGATGTGCTGATTAGTTTTTGATGAAGGCAAGTCCTACCGTTACGGAGATACGGAGCAAAGAGTGCCGAAAATAGAAATCGAGATTTTGAGAGAACGGAGTATCCGATTTGAATGATTTGAAAAACATCCAATTTGTAACAAATGAAAGAAGTGGTGATTTGTTTTTGACAAAGGCAGGTCCAGCAGTTTCGGAGATACAGAGCTAAATGTACAAAAAATGGCAGTTTTTTAGAGAACTAAGCATCCGATTTGAATGATTCAAAAAACTTTATGCTTGTGTTGACAAAATAATTGCTTTTGGAACAAAAAAAAATTATTTCAATTATTTTTCTATTTTTTTTTGTATATCAAAAATAATTCAGATTTTAATTTTAATTCTGGCTAAAGTTTTAAAGCTCACTTTGCAATTCAGTTTATATAATTCTTATGAATATTAGACAATGTTACAGTATTTATAATTATCTATTTGAAAACATTTAATATTCCTTGAATATTTTATTACGGTAGAGGGAGTTCCATCAATTTGCCTTAAGGCGCAATGCCATACGCCACTAGTTTATCTTATTTATTCTTATTATTTTACTTATTACTATTATTCCCTCTATCTCTATAAATGTATTAATGATCATTTTTGACAGTCAAATGTCAATTTTAAACTTTTTTTTGTAACCCCTAAACCGCTAGAACTGCCTTCGCAAAAATTAAATTCTTCATTTCGTTATTACAAGTAATATAAGATGTTTTATGAATCATTCAATTGGATGCTCTGTTCTCTCAAAAACTTACTTTCTATTTCCTACACGCTTTCCCCAGTATCTTCGTAACTGCTGGACCTGCCTTTGCCAAAAACCAATCACGCGTTTCCCTATCAATAGGAATCGATTGCTTTTCGAATCATATACATCGGTTGATCCGCCCGAAATCGTCGACGAAAAATTGTATCCACAGAAACCTCTGAAATGTAAAAATATGCAAAATAATTCATTTTCGAGTTGTGGACGATTACAATAGCTTACCTTTCTGGAAATTAATAATAATAAATTGCAAAAAATATTAAAAATAATTAATGAATAAAATAATAATAATAGTTTAGAAAACCGTTAATCTGTGTAAATTATTCAAAATTACGAGACACATGTGTAAGAATGTAATTTTTGCATCATTTAAACCAATTAACAATTAGAAAATTAAGCTGCAGTTTCAGCAGATGCTAAAACCGTTCACTTTACAAAATTGCAAAAAATTTTTGCTAATTTTTATTTTTTTGGTTAGCATAATCATATATCAAATACGTATTAAACTTTTTGCCATTTATCCTTGACAAATATATTCGTCAACCATGGATACCTCATTAATAATTTAGAGTTATTTACATTTTCTTTGTTAATATTGCTTTTCAACTAATTATATATGAAAAATTCAATTTATAGGCTTTGATTCATGAAAGCGTAAGACTGGCAACTGTTACTGCATTACCACCTGGTACAGAATGCTTAACTCTCGATAGAACGTAAGTTTTGTATCAAAACATTTATCATATTGACTTGAAAATTTGCATATTTATATTTTTAATTAACTTTATTTATTTATTAGCGCATTTATCGAGTTATTAGGCAATATCAAAGATTTGAAAGAAAAAACTTATCCCGGTGCTGGAGCAGCTGCAGTCGTTACTGCGAACAAAATTATTAATAAAGGTATATTTTTTCATGTTATATATTTTTTTATGCAGCAGGCAAATCGGCAGTTTATTCTAGAAACTAAAAATTTTCTAGAAAGTCTATGTAGAACCTTAGATCTGTAGATACCTTAATCATTTTGAACTTCATATTTAGAAAAAAAAACTTTGGGGGTATTCTGGTCTATGACATGAACTTTATGCGGTTTTAAAAGGTCTTAAAAAAAGGCAAACAATATTTCTGCTATACTTTTTTTTACAAGATATTAAGTAATGATTTTAGAATACATAATAAAAATAAAAAAATTGAATATTACACAGGCCAACAAAGAAAATGGTGCAAACGATTTCAATGCTGTTTTTAAGTATATTTGGGGCGCTGATTTCAAAAATGACATTGTTTTTTTCTATGAGCTTTAGTTTTCAAGATATGATATATTAGGTGCGCAACTAAATTCTAGCTGTTTTTTCGATGAAAATGTAACTTTATTATAAAAAAATTGCATCAACTGAGTTCGATACAGTTCTCCAGTGATGGTTTCGCTCGGTTTCAACAGCTCATAACAAATAACACCGACCTGGTCCCACCATATGTAGAGCATACCCTTCGAAGTGAATATTCGGCCGAACCAAGATTTTCTCCTCTTTGGATTGCTGTAATGTATTCATTTTTTTATGACCTGTCACGATGTGATGAAGAACCTCTTCTTTTCTCGCCGCTGGAGCAGTTGTTCACAGGCGAAAAACACAGGCGAAACGCTCGACGTCTCTTGGCTTCAACTCACAAGGAACCGAAGTTTCTTGCTTCTAAATCATTCCCAACGCAGGCAATAGCTTGGAAATGGCTTGATGGGTAACTCCTAATTCTGAAACAAGATCTTCTTGAGTTTGGCACGAATCCTCTTCAAACAAGACCTTCAATTTAGCGTTTTTAAAGGTTTTGGCCTTCCTATGTATGCCTACTCGTGCATACAAACTTACAAGACCCATTCGGCCTTAGTTGGGACATTAGTTGACACTGTGAAAAATTCTTTTCCGTGACGACCTAGAATGGACCTGGTTTTGGCAACTTCTTTTCAAGTTCCAAACTAGAGCTGATACAAAAAAATGGTTTGCAAAAAATTTGAAATCAGCGCAAAAAATACTATAAGAATCAGCTCTAACATTTGATGCACCAAACAAACAAAAATTTTGTTGGCCTGTGTTATTAAAGTTTTAATTCTAGAAGTGCAAAATTGGCACCTCACCATACTGAAGTTATATGTATTCTTGATCTAGAATGATGTCGTAATTGGATACGGACAAATTAAAAAAAATTACGAAATGATGATTGTCTTAAGAATAAATATCTCTACAATTTTATTTATATTCTCGGTTTTTTTAAAAATATTTTATTTCGGAATTTGAGGATGAGCATAAATCATACTGGAGGCAGGTCTATAAAAAAACACCGTAAAAATTTTAAGTAAATCGGTCTAGTAGAATTTGAGAAATCGTGGGTATAGTGTCGAAAAGGTCAGATTCGAGAAAAACGCGTTTAAAGTTTTACGGTGGAGGAAAGGAAACGATTTTTTTAGTCTATATACTCTTTTGAGAAAATTTCGAGCGTATCACTAATAATGTAAAATTGTTTAAAATCTTTAGTTTTTTTATAATTTTTCTCTACAAGTAGATTATGCACATATTCGCCTCAATGAACTGGAAATAATTGGTACTTTGGGCGTTGGCGGATTTGGTCGCGTGGAACTGGTCAGTCATCCATCCTCACCAGATAAGACATTTGCTCTAAAATGTCTCCAGAAAGTTGATATTGTTCAGCAGCAACAACAACAGCACGTTTATAATGAGAAGCATGTTATGGCTAGTTGTGACAGCCCATTTATATGCAGGTATTTTAATATTTTTGCACCATTCAAGCGCTACTTTTATTGATTATAGCAAATATTTGTGGTTTTGCGAAATATTTGCTACAGGAAAAGTGCAATTATTCCTGTCATAGTGGAATTTGTTGATTTACTACATCTTTCTCACTTTGGACCTTATCTCAAAATCAGTATAATTTAGCTGTTATGACGATTGTCACTGCCCCGTGCCTAGTCTGCCCTACATTTAAAACAAAATTCATTAGATTTTTTTGGACAAAATATAAAAAACTTGTTTCTGATCAGTTAAAAATCAAATTTTTTTCTAATAATTCAAACTAAAAATTTTTTAAATTTGGTTTATCAATAAAATCATTTCTGATTGGATTGTTTCCCTTTTCTGCAGATTATACAACACATATAAAGATACCAAATACTTGTATTTCCTAATGGAAGCATGTCTGGGAGGTGATGTCTGGACGGCGTTGCATAAAGCAAAATGTTTTGATGAGAAAACTTCTAGATTTATAACCGCTTGTGTTATTGAAGCTTTCGAATATTTACACGACAAAAATATGATCTTCCGTGATTTAAAACCTGAAAATCTCATGCTAGATACTAAAGGATACATCAAACTGGTAATTCTATCCAACAATATAAATAAAATGAAGATTGTTGATTGCACTGAAATTAATTAATAAAAAAAAATAATAAATTGACTAGTCCACAACATCTTGGAATTTTTACTTATAGGTCGACTTTGGATTTGCCAAACGTGTGGATCCGGGCAAAAAAGCTTGGACATTTGCCGGTACTCCAGAGTATGTGGCGCCCGAGGTACTTAAAACAACTTTAATTCACAATATTATATTTTGCCATTCCTAACTTGAAGTAGAACTAGTTGGTATTGGTATTTTGCCTTGAGGCAAGTTACATAGACTTTCCGATATGTGTAAATAATCGGCTTAATCAATAAAAAATAAATTAATTTATGAGTGATTAAAAGTATTCCGAGTAGATTTATTACACATATTTGAAAACAAACAAACACGTTAACTCGGACTAACTAAAAGCAAATTTTCGAAAAATTTCAGTTTTCGCAGGACTTTAATGGTTCAATATGTTTATTAAGACCAACTACTCTATCGTTATATCAAGTAAATCGTCTAATTTTAATTTTAACAAACGTCAAAAAAACTACTCATTTTTTCAAACTTTGATGAAAATTAAACGACTTGTCGTAAGGCTTTTTAATATTACAGTAAGTTCTATGAGACCATAATATATATCAAAAAAAGTTTTATAAAACTTGGCTTGAATTTTTAATTTACAGTTAATCACAAGAAAGCGGCTCGGTAGACTTTCACCTAAAACTAATCAGTATCATTCAATATCTTTCATACATCAGCACCAAGCAATATCTTTCGAACAATTTTCAAAATGTGGACGAAACGTAGACAAAAAATCTTTCACTTTTCTGCGATTTACAAAGAAACGGCTCGGCCGATCGTCGCACAAAACTGAGGAACGCTAGTCCTCATCGAGATACTTCGAATTGTTTTTAAATTTTTGAAATTGGTCCGGCTGTTTTTGAGAAACGTCGAGAAAACATATAATTAGCGAATACGTTTTTTTTTATGAAAACATAAACTTTCCCTTCGGGAAGTTAATAATTATAATATATTTTTTAATACTTTGTTCTTAGCATTGGCATATATAAACCATTTTTCTACATCATTAGTAATAATTAATACTCAATTATTTTTGGCTACATTTGAAAAATGTCTTTACTCTTTATGATTTATTGGTATTTCTTCCTCAGGTTATTCAGAATAGAGGTCATGATAGAGCCGTTGATTATTGGGCTGTTGGTATTTTAATTCATGAGCTGCTGGTAGGAAAGCCACCTTTCCGTGGTTCTGACAACATGAAAACGTACCATCAAATATTGAAAGGAATCGATCATGTTCAAATGCCTGGAAAAGTAAAAATGCAACACTAAATATTAAATAGCTATGGTAAATGTGTACTAATTTATTTTACTCGTTTATTGTTGCAGGTTAGCAGAAAAGCCCAAGAGTTGATTAGAAAACTCTGTAGACCTGCACCTGCGGAGAGACTAGGATATCAAAAAAATGGATTGCAGGATGTTAAAAAACCATTTGTGAGTATTATTATACCTCTTTAACTAGACTGTGGATTATGTTTATCTTTCACGAAAGTGATAAAGTCTGAATTAAAATTAAAATTTGCTAAAAATTAATAAGGAATGAATATTATTTTTTTCCAAATTCTCTGACCTAAATCTACATATAAGGTTGTCAAATATCTCCCTTCCGCCTTTTTGTATTATAAACCAAGAGCAAAAAAGCGGAAGGGAGATATTTGACAACCTAATATAACTTACATTACAGTATTATTAGGAATTCAAATTTTAAAGCGTAAAAATGTAGCTGAAATTAAGCAATTATTTATTTCTATTGAGTTCAAAATTTACTCTATACTTCAATTATCTATTTAGATGGTATTCATCAGTTTCATTCGACTGGGTGAGTCTCAAATCTCAAGAAATGCCTGCGCCACTGGTCCGCACAGTAGAAAATTCAACAGATATGAGAAACTTTGACAAATTCCCGAAGAACAGAGAATTTCCACCTGATGAATTATCAGGTTTCGATATAAACTTTTAAAAACACTAATTTGCACACCTGATAATGTTACATAAAATCTACGTGGCTGCAGCGCTACATGCAACCTTCAGAAAAGGTGGTTATAAGTAATTGGTATTATAAATACAGAGGTCATTCTTGAATATAAGAAATTATTTATATATTTGTATCGATAATATTGAAATAAATTGTTTTATATTTCGATAATATAAAAAAAAGTTTAAACATGTATAAATTATTATACATCATTAAAAGTAGATAAAATTATCTATGAATTTATTTAAAATGGATTAAATTTTGAACGTTGAATTGAACGTTTTCTCGATTAAATAAATTCATAAATAATCAAATCAATAAATAATCAAGCAGTACATAAATAAAACAAAAATATAAAATATTCGCGCCAGAGTGAATCTAAATATTAGTTAGTCTATGCTGTATCGTAACTAACTACATGAGGACGCCATGTTTGTAAATAAAGATATACATAATCGTTATTAATTTGCTGAACTTTGAGGTGAAAACACTGAACTGTAAATAATGAGATCCTGGCGTAAGGCGAATATATATAGTTCAAACAATCAAACACTATAAATATATAAATATATAAGTAGTCCATGGATTTTCCCAAAAAAAAAATTCACAATTTTTTTTCTGATTTTGTGCTGAATCCAATGACATGATCACGGTCATTTTTATACAAATCTTAATGGTGACGTGGTATATGAAATAATTCAATATAAGTAGTACAAATAAAAAAGATGAACCTGATTAATTTGAATAAATGAAACGAGGACAAAATATACGTGTACAAAACATATTTTCATCAAAATTACAAACATGTTGTTAAAACCAAAGAAAATTACGTGGGCACATACTTTTTTTTTATACATATTTGCCTACCCGTGGGTACTTTATACATCATATTTGATCTTAATATATACAGTGAATATTGATTGTGAATACAGCGAGATGCGTGACAAATTGTTTGGCAAAAAAAGAGGAAAGAATACTTTTCCTCAAAAAAAGCCACAAAGCAATATTTATAATAACACATAATTATACAAAAAAAGAATAGATTTATTCGCACTGAAGGAAAATCTGTGTCGAGCCAAGTGTCATTTGCCGCTATGGGTCGATCAGTATATAGTTTTATTGCCATACCAAATTACGTCTCTAGTGTATTGGCCGAGGCCCGCGATGTTAGTATTAGGATGATCCCCGCATTTTAGATAAAAAATTTTGGTGAGCTTTTTTATATAGTCGAGTATTGTTCGTACGTCAGTCTGTTTGTGTATGTATTTTGAAGAGTAGTAATGTCTAGTCAGTGGGTCCCTTATTTTGTTAAATACTAATCGTAGTGTCTTACTTTGTAATGTCTGTAGTTTCCGTAAGTTGATCTTAGTCGTCGCGTTCCATGCTGTAGCGGCGTATGTCAGTAACGGTCTTATTAGTGTCAAGTCAAGTGTCCGCTTGTTCTTCACGCTTAGCGGGCTGTTGTGGTTCAAGAGAGGTCTCAGTAGATTTAACATCCCGTAAGCCTGTCCTATTTTCGCATTGATATGTTTTGTAAAGCTGACTATTATTACCCACCACCACAAATTTTTTTGACCAAAAATTTTTTTTCCCAAAATTTTTTTGACCAAAATTTTTTTCCCAAAATTTTTTTGAGAAAAAAATTTTTGTCCCAAAATTTTTTCTTCCAATTTTTAGACCAAAAAGTTTTTTACCAAATATTTTTTTTCCAAAATTTTTTTGACCAAAATTTTTTTTGGAAAAAAATTTTTTGTCCAAAAATTTTTTCTCCCAATTTTTTTGACCAAAAATTTTATTCCCAAAATTTTTTTGAGCAAAATTTTTTTTCCCAAAATTTTTTTGGTCAAAATTTTTCTCTTCCCAAAATTTTTTTTACTAAAATTTTTTTCCGGTTATTATTAAACATAACGAGGTGGCGCCAAATAAAAATGCATTCGGCATTTATGCATGCAGCACACGCTTCAAAATACTGCAAGGGTGATTATGAAATAACGACCTAGCAGCTGTTTCATTGCACATTAACGCACTAAAATGACTACTACATCGAAACAGTGTTCTGAACTCAAAAAATAAGAGGACCATATATCTCACATTAATAAGACCAATAATCACCTATGCGGCACAAATTTGGGTCACAACATGTAAAAGTAACATTCATAAACTGCAAATATTACAAAATAAAGTATTACGATTAATACTAAATGTGCAGAGAGAGATCCAATCACCAGACACTACAAATCTAGTAAGTATCTTCATGAAAAATCCAATCTGCAATTTTTTAAAGAGACCATACTCAACATGATGGCAAAATTGCAAACACAGTCCAAATCCAATCATAAAAAGCCTAGGAAGAATTACAACAGACATGATATGGTACGGCAAATACGCTTTGCCAAACCACCTGATAGAGGAGTACTATTTGGAAAAGATATAGTTACACCTATTCATAATAATATATTTTAGTTAGTATTAAGCTTTAGTGTTATCTTAGTTATAAGTTATAATTGAGCGAATAGTGTTTTTTTGTTTTCCTTTTTTTCACTTATTGTCAACATTATTGATATTGATATGTAACTAGATTATTAAAATTTCCTTAAATACCATACATAAATTGCAAAAATACTTACTAGGTAGTAATGCATAAAATATTACACTGGGCTTTGTAACATATATTGATAGAAATATAAAAGTTTATCAATAATCATCATGTTTCATTGCACTTAGTACTATGTACTCATTGTACTATTGCACTCAGTAGAGAGTCGACTCAACTTTTTGTTGGGTTTCATTTTGTTCAAATGAGCAATCACTTGCTTCTGCCAGGAGCAGAATTTGATTGGGTCGTCTCATGTGGAACTTTTTGATATTTTCATCAAAATTACAAACATGGTGTTGAAAAAATATAAAATAAAAAAATTAAGCGCATTCCGCTGGAGCAGAACCTGATTCGGTCGTCTCATCTTGATTTTTGTGATCGCAGACTCGGGAGATAACGGTATGGTGCCTCTTTCTTCTCCCGTTGCCTGCGGCTATTGGGGGATACTGACAGATTGGGGCTGTCAGTTTTGTGTGTTTTGCATGTTGCATGTGCATGGTGTGTTTGAGTGCGTGTGAGCGAGTGAGAAGCGTTTGCGTTCGTCGACTTTGGAAGACCGGGTCCAGAGTCGACTAGCGATCGCAGCGTGAATTCGGCGATCGTGCCATAAGCCGGACTTTGGAAAACCAGATTTTTCAAAGTCTTTGTCGATCTCAGAGCGAATCCTCCCCCTCGTGGCTGACACCTTATCGTGGTGAGGGGGTCCAGTTGGGCGATAACCGTCCAATTGCCAAGAGCAGCCACTTTTCACCACTTATAAAAGGTAATCCATATTGTTGTACATGGAAATACAAGTTTTTAAATTTAATTGAATTAATAATATGTTGTATAGATTTATATTATATATATATATATATATATATTATATATATATATATATATAGAATATATAGACTTGTTTAAACTGCACCTTATTTTTTCATTCCATCTTTCAATATTTTTCAATATATAGAATGCATGCGCCTTTGCGGGTATTAAAACTTCGATCACCAAATTTTTTTCTCCCAATTTGTTTGACCAAAAATTTTTTTCCCGAAATTTTTTTGACCAAAAATTTTATTGATCAAAATTTTTTGGGCCAAAATTTTTTTTACTAAGATTTTTTTGACCAAAAATTTTTTGGACCAAAATTTTTTTTCGAAAATTTTTTCGACCAAAACTTTTTTGACCAAAATTTTTTTGACCAAAAATTTTTTGGACCAAATGTTTTTGGACCAAAATTTTTTTTTCGAAAAATTTTTTGACCAAAATTTTTTGGGTCAAAATTTTTTTTGATCAAAAAATTTTTTCCAAAATTTTTTTGGGCCAAAATTTTTTTGACCAAAATTTTTTAGACCAAAATTTTTTTGACCAAATTTTTTTGAGTCAAAATTTTTTAGGCCATAATTTTTTCGGTCAAAAATTTTTTTGAGACAAAATGTTTTAGGCCAAAATTTTTTTGAGTCAAAATTTTTTAGGCCCAAAATTTTTTGGGTCAAATTTTTTTTGGGCCAAAATTTTTTTGGTCAAAATTTTTTTCCCAATTTTTTTTTGAGCCAAAATTTTTTTGGTCAAAATTTTTTGGGTCAAAATTTTTTTGGGTCAAAATTTTTTAGGTCAAAATTTTTTTTGACCTAAAATTTTTTTCCCAAATTTTTTTGGGCCAAATTTTTTTGACCAAAATTTTTTGTGGCCAAAATTTTTTGTGTCAAAATTTTTTTTGGCCAAAAATTTTTTTTCCTATTTTTTTTGGGCCAAAATTTTTTTGACCAAAATTTTTTAGGCCAAAATTTTTTAGGCCAAAATTTTTTCGGTCAAAATTTTTTTGAGCCAAATTTTTTTGGGTCAAAATTTTTTTTGACCAATTTTTTTCCCAAAAGACCAAATTTTTTTGGGCCAAAATTTTTTTGACCAAAATTTTTTTCCCAAATTTTTTGACCAAAATTTTTTTGACAATTTTTTTTTTCGAATATTGGTCAATGTCGGTCCAAATTTTTTGGACCAAAATTTTTTGGGCCATAATTTTTTTGACCAAAATTTTTTTGACCAAAAATTTTTTGGACCAACATTTTTTAGGCCAAAATTTTTTTGACCAAAATTTTTTTCCCAAATTTTTTGACCAAAATTTTTTGACCAAAATTTTTTTGACCAAATTTTTTTGGGCCAAAATTTTTTTGACCAAAAATTTTTTGACCAAAAATTTTTTTGACCAAAAATTTTTTTGACCAAAATTTTTTTCCCAAATTTTTTGACCAAAATTTTTTTGACATTTTTTTTTCCGAATATTGGTCAATGTCGGTCCAAATTTTTTGGGCCAAAATTTTT